TGACATATATCATAATATGCAAATTAGCTGCAACGTCGTTACAGCTCAAACATCAAAAGTAATGTATTCGATGCGAAATCTTATATGTATCTCTTAAGGAGCAATGAATCTTGAAAGAATTTTGATATTATAATTTGATATTTTTCTTAAAATACTCCTTTTATTTAATATGCTTTGTATTTGAAAGAGAATTTATATAAAAACATAATTCACAACTTAAATGTGATTCTCAAACATCGTCATTTTTAAGTTTCAACAAGTTCATAAAGTGACACATAATTCACCATACAATACCATGATAACTAATTATTTGTAAATAGTTACTAATACTAGCTATTAAATTAATAAGTATTGTATCTCATAAACATGAAAAAAATATTTAGAAAAATAATTATAAAAAAGATTATGGACTAGTATATAGTAAAGACATAACAAAAGTTAATAAATAAATACTTTTTAAATGAAAGATTTATTTAAAATTAACTATCATCCCAGTCTTAGTGGATAACGTGCAATAATTTTTACTTTAATTATGACATAAAATACTCTCAGCTTAATGATTTAAAATTAGAAAAAAAAGTAATTTTGAATAGTCAACGATTTATTAAGAAAATTTGAGGATTTATAAGGTTAGTTACATACAATTGCATAAAGCTTTATTAGGCGAGCTCAGTACGCTGGGTGTTGGGCGTGTCCGGGGCGTAAGTCCCAATGGTCAAGGCGTAAGTCTCACGGAACTAAACCCCACATATAAGCCCAGATGCGTTTTACGAGTGCTCCACCCCAGGGCGAGCCCTGAGCGAGTCCCAATTCTACCTTTTCAAACAGAGAGTACAACCATGTCAATATTTTGGGCCATCTGAAATGAGAAGACTATTATATAAAGTTTTGGATTTCTACTTGTCAGTTATTGGAAAGCATGGTGGATTCTGATGGATGGTGCATACATTTTGAGAAGAGCACAAGAAAATGTTCCATTTATGCAGGTGAAACCTTCTATTCCAAATGGAATTTGTCATTTGGCTGGATTTCTTGAATCATTGGTTTTCTCTTTAATTTGCTTTAGATCGTCCATATTTTTGTCGGGTGGAACCAGCCATCTTTGAATTGAAACGAAAAAGTTCAACAAAAGAAGCTTGCAGGTAATCCATTGACGTTGCTCGCTTACTGTTGCCTATATATAGACTTTGTGAAAGTCTTAACCACTAAATTCTGTCTGTCTTGATTGCAGTTCTTGCGTAGAAACAATTAAAGCGATATATGGATCAAGCTCAAAAGAGTTGGAGAATTACAATGCTGCTGCAGTATGGAGTTCCCACATTTCTTTCTCTGAGGTTGCTTATCTTTTTCTTTGGTGCACTACATTTTAGTTGAAGGTGCTTATATAAGTCACCAGTTGCTTTTATTGTCTTGACAGATCCCTAATTTTGGGTATAATTCTCTTTACTCTTGTCGGATGTGATTGCTAGAGGTATCTCATCACGTAAAATATAATGTAGTAGCACTTTTTATAAAAGAAAGGTACTTGTAACCGTCAAGAAACTATGACTTTATCAAGAAAAGGAACATTAATTAGTAGCCATTCCTTTTCATGGTCGACATTTCATTCCCATGTTTCATTTTTGCAATGTATATTTTCATCAGAACTCTACTTTATAATATAAGAGTCAATAAAACCTTTAACTTAAAAAAGAACACACACTTCTCACCGTAAACTAAATTTTGCTATACTCATTCTTAGTTGTTTTTTTCTTCTATAATCTGTTCACATTATTTTGAGCCAAGGCATAATCACTACAAGTTTGAGTAAAAACTTATCCGTACCGGGTATTTACACCAAACTAATAGATACATGACATGTGTCTTGCATATGAACTTTAATTATTTAACCATAGTAAATTATATCCATTCTCATCTAATTAAATTTATTAACCATAATGAGTTAATATAGCTTGGTGTAAACACCGGTGTGGGTAAGTATTTACCGTTTCTTAGTGTGTAAACAGCACAACGTACTATTCCTCCGTGCAACCTGTTTTTTCCTTTTCAAATCCCATGTTCCTAATTAAGAAAATAAGTAGATAAATAAATACGATATCGGAATAGAAAATAAACTATTGAAGAATGTTATTCTACTCCCTCCGTTTCATATTAGATGGGGTACTTTCTTTTTTAGTATGTTCCAGATCAAATGGCACATTTCTAAATTTGGAAATAATTCAACATTAAGCTTTTCATTGTACCCATTTACCCTTAATGAAAAGCTTTTATATCCACACAAATGTCATGGCCCCACAAACCTTTTACCCCTTAAGCTTTTAAGACCACAAGTTTCAAAAGTCTTCTTTTTTTTTCTTAAACTCCGTGCCGAGTCAAATTACCTCATCTAATATGAAACGAAGGTAGTATTATTTTTCATGTAAATGAGTGATACCTTAAAACCAGATACCAAAAGAGAAATACGTCGTCCAAATAGGTTGTGGAGCATCCTCCATGAATCTGAGATTTTGATATCCATGTTAATCAGATTCTGTTATACTGTTTGTCTAGATGGTTCTGTAGATTTCAATTAGCTTATCGACAATGTTGTCATTGGCGCTTTTAAAGCGCTTAAGCCCTTAAGCGAGACTCAAAATATGTTGAGCGCTTTGCCTCATTTTGTGGATGCTTCAGTGTCTTATCAAGGCTGTAAGGCATACTTTTCTTTGCCAACGAGTGTAATCCTGAAAAGGCGACACTAAACAATTGATATTTCACTTTATCGTAATTTTTCTTCAATTTCTTTGTCCATATATTTGTTATTCATGCTTAAGTTATTGGTCTTGGACTACATATACGTATTTTTACTTTTTCTCCAGTTGCACCTTTTTTCATTATAGCCACACTTTAATTGCGCTTAAAGCCCCAACAGACCTTAGAGCTTTTTTGTGCGTTTCGCCTCTGAAGCACTAAGAGAATGACATCCACAAGGTTATGGGGTTTGTATATTTATAAAGATCGTTTAAATGTGCTAAGGAAGCCAAAAGGCCAACTGCCAGCCGCCTACAATTAATGCTTCTGGGAATCGTACAAAAAGCAACCCTTCAGTCTCTTCAACCGCTTATGCCATGATGTTGACGTTAGGACCCAGACATAGGGAACCAGATTGTCGGAAATTATTAAAGAACAGTCTACGAATCGAGTTCGAGCAAACACTCGTTCGATTATTTTGGCCCAAGGGCTACCCGAGTTCGAGCCAGTTCTCACTTGGGGACTATTAATAAAGCCTCAGGGCTATCTTTATCTCAAGGTCGAGCAAACGCTTGTTCGATTATATTGGCCAAGGGCTACCCGAGTTCGAGCCAGTTCTCACTCGGTGACTATTAATAAAGCCTCAAGGCTATTTTTATCTTAAGTTCGAGCAAACGCTCGTTCGATTATAATGGCCCAAGGGCTACACAGGTTCGAGCCAGTTCTCATTCGGGGACTATTAACAAAGCATCAGGTCTATCTTTATCTCAAGGTCACAAATGCTCGTTCGATTATTTTGGCCTAAGGGCTACCCGAGTTCGAGCCAGTTCTCACTCGGGAATATTAATAAAGCCTCAGGGCTATCTTTATCTCAAGGCCGAACAAATACTCGTTCGATTATATTGGCCCAAGGGCTACCCGAGTTCGAGCCAGTTCTCACTCGGGGACTATTAACAAAGCCTCAGGGCTATCTTTATCTCAAGGTCGAGCAAACGCTTGTTCGATTATTTTGACCCAAGGTCTACCCGAGTTCGAGCCAGTTCCCACACGGGAATTATTAATAATGCCTCAGGGCTATCTTTATCTCAAGTTCAAGTAAACGCTTCTTCGATTATTTTGGCACAAGGGCTACCCGAGTTCGAGCCAGTTTTCACTCGGGGACTATTAATAAAGCGTCAGGGCTATCTTTATCTCAAGTTCGAAGAGACGCTCACCCAAATATGTTAGCCCAAAGGCCGCCCGAGTTCGAGTATGTCCTCACTCAGGGACTGTTTATAACGCCCACTACAAAAAAATAGCGTTTAACGACGGAATTTAGCGACAAGCGATATTCCGTAGCTAAATAACGACGGATTAGCGATGAAATTTGTATTTTGGCGCCAAAAAAGCTAGAAGATAATTTGTACCAAATATAGCGACGGATTAGCGACAAAAACTCAAATTCCTCGCTAAAATTGGTGCTAAATATTAGCGCCTTTATTTTAGCTACAAAATTAGCGATGAATTCTGGGCGACAAAAAATATTGAAACGTAGCGACGGATTTAACGTCCAATAATCCGTCGCATAATTTATTTTACTTATCAACGCATTCGAAAGTTATCGGCGACAAAATATTCCGTCGCTAATTTCCTAATATATAATTTCATTAATTACTATTAGCGACAGAATTTCGGTCCGTCGCTATTCCGTCGTTAAATTTCCGTCCCCAAAATTAAATTACCCTAGCTAGGTAAAAGACCTTCCCAAAGGCACAAACACCCTAATATCTCCACTGTTCTTCCTATTTCTTCTCTTCCTCTTGAACAAAGCACAAACGCAGACTTCAGTACCTCCATCTTTTCAGTCGACGTTCAGCAGCGTAGGTTTTCAGTGATATGTTAAACTATGCTCTCTATGTATGTTAAACTATTTTATTTATTTTGGCAGATTGACTTCCTAAGACTTTCTGTGGTGTTCCATCAATCTAAGAATACTTTGACCACATCAATCTAACAAAGGCCGAGACCTCAGCAGCGTAGGTTTTCGGTCGACGGTTTCCTATTTTTGCAAAGGGGTTTTGTTCTCAGAGGTATGGGCTTGCTTTCTTCTGATATTTGACAAATTAAGTGTCAAATCTTTGACAATTTCGTTACTTTTCTTGTGTTAAAAACTGATTTTTTTTTTACCTATCTGAAAAATAGAAGAAAACATTTGAAATTGCAATTTTTTGCTGCGGATCTTTGAAATTCGAAGTCATGTGTTTGTAAAATTATGAAACTCAAAGTCGTGTGTTGATTTTAGGGATTGCATGTCCTTGATAAGGTAAGCGTCCTGTTCTTCTGTAAACCAAGCTGCCCGATATTTGCATCCATAACCTCTTTTGAATTGTACATTGGTAGCCATTGTTGATTTTGTACTACCTCGCTAAATGGTTTGGCATCAAGTGTAAGTTTTGTTCTAAATTTTTTGTGTATTGATTACTTTTTATATTCCTGTTGACATTTCCCGACCCCAAAATTTCTGAATCTGCTACTTATCTGTAGACTGTAGTTAAGGTTGTGGCTGAAGAGGCAACTATTAAAATTTGTTTGGTAGGGAGATAAATTACCTACATTTAGCAGAATTTAAGTCAATTTATTTAAAAGAGATGGTCTTGGAAAACAGACTCAGTTATATATAATTTTTGATGTTGAGTTTTCCTGTTGGTCAATTCCGGGATATCAGAAGATAGCAATTTTTGTTAACCTTACTTTTCAAGCAAAATATTAAGGCAAAGACATTAACAAAATTAGTGCTACTTGTTTGTCAAATAAATATGGATTAATTGTCCTTGAGAAAAAAGCTATAGGTTGTCATCTCCAAGAGTGGAATTGAAAACTGCGATCTGCATATTCAAATTGGTTGCATACTTCTCCTACTACTGTTATAATTCCTTCTCCTTCTCCCCCTAATTGACTCACTGATTTTCCTTCATCACATGTTGGAAACACTGAATTTATGGGGCTTTCACACTCTTTGACAAGCTTTGAGATGAGATCAGTTATGTAGAATGGCTGTTGAAGCACCTTTTGTATATAGGGCAAGCGCAGCAATCCACCAGTTCTCTTGTCATACTTTTTCAATATCTTAGCCAAACCTATGAAATCGAATCATGTTTTTATTAAAAAGAGTACAAGTTCCTTATTAAAGGTATCAAATGGACGGATTGAGATAATAAATGGGCAAGTATGTCCAGTTTGATTTGTTATTTCTTGCATTTGAGTTGATATCTCTTGAGTCACATGTTGTAAAATGTAATACCATGATACTTTCCAGAGTGATGTACTGTTTGCTAGTAATATAAGAGTATCTTACTCATAGATTTGCTAAGAATTGGGAGCTGTGGTTCTCTGTCCAGCTAATTTTGAGTTAGTTTCAAATTTTTCATAACCTTAAGAGTAAGGAAATGCTTAACAGGAATGCTGAAAAATTGAGAATATATGGTTCTATCTCTTGTAGGGACAGTTCGATATAGTGGCTCTATCTGGTTCCTTCAGGGAACCCATAATAGGCGATGAGGATAGCTGGACGGGTGCAATAAACATAGCTGTAGCTAGAGATGGATTGGTGTTAGGTGGTAACGTGATCGGTGATCTGACGGCTGCATCAAAAGTCGAGGTTTGCATTCTTTGAAGTCCTTATGAAGTTTCAGCTTGTGTTTACTATTTCTAGTGATCATCTCATAAAGCTCTAGCTACTACTAAATCTGTGTTAGTTGGGGCAGGAACTTACGTTGATTAGGATGGGAAGATTTTCTTGTATTTTCTCTACATTGCAATTTCTTGATGAATTTTCTGTAACTTAGCTTCTGCTTGTTTGAATTTTCAGAGACTATACTGCTCAGGTTAAGTTGGAGCAGCCCATTGCAGGCCAAGAAAAGGAGCAATTGGAAATATGCCTCGAGGTAGAGGTCGGGGTAGCGCAGGCCGTGTAGGTAAATCTTCAGTTAGGGGTAATTTTTCTACTCGTGAAAATATGCCTACTGTTCCCATTCCCACAATCAATCCTCAACAAGGTGGTACGAGTTCCTCAGGTGGATCGGATCACATCAATCAAGTTCGAACATTAGGTCCTAGTAGTACGCCACCTATTCAAACATCAGGCCATGGTAGTACCCCAACTATTAGTTTGGAACCATCTCCAAATACCCCTAATCAGAGCAACACAATAGGTGAGGGTACATCTTCTCAAAGCAACATAATAGGCGAAACTGAGTGTAGCAGTACCCGCCGACCACGGACGCTTGTTACTCTTTCTCCTGCAGGGTTAGTCCATACTTGTACTATTACTTTTGGTATATTGTTATTGATACATGGTATTCCTTTAAATAATGTCTTCTAATTTGTTTAGGTTAGAGCCTTCATATGAATGCTCTGAGTTTATAACTAAGTCTTTCAAGAATGAACTTGATCCTAATGGATTCAACTGGAAAAATGTCTCAAATGAGTTAAAAAAAATTTATTTTGGAGAATTCAAGGTATAATCCATCACAATTAGATTTCGAAAGTATATTAACTTTTATATGTAGTTTATTAATATTACTTTATAAAATTATTTCAGAAGGCTTTCTACTGGGATTCTTCAATTGATAGTGCGGTGCAGATCCAATGGGAGCGTAGGGCAGCAAGAAGATACAGTGATTTTATTAGCAAACTAAAAGCAAATATGGTGCAACCGGACACTATTCCAAATAATGTGTGGGAAAGTTGGCCGAGACTTTGGAAGGATCCTAAGTGTGTTGAAAAGTCAGAAATAAATGCAAAAAATCGTTGTGGTGGGAGCGAAATTGCCACTGGGACTCATACAGGTGGCTCTATCAGTGTTGGGGAGCATCGCAAGAGACTTGTAAGTGTATTTATAACTTTTCCCTGGATTTGTATTGTGTGCATGTTCACTTGTGCGTATGATATCATGTCTCCACGAATTGAAGTTGCAGTTGCAGTTGCTTTGGTCTTGTCCCTGCTTTTACTATCAGTATCTGTTCTATCCTTTGCATATTCCCAAACATTTTCAGGTATATTTATATTGTGTGTGTGAGTTTGTTAAAAAAAACTGATGAGGGACAAAGGATTTCTAGCGGAATTTAACGATATACGTCAAATGTGACCCTTCTCTTCTTTCTTCTCTGTTTCCCCTGAAGTTCTGTGTCTCTTTTATGTGTTGGTCACAGTTAGGAGGTACTAGTTTACTTCAAAGTAAAAGTTAGGAGGTATTAGTTACTTAAAAGAAATAGTTAGGAGGTATATATACAATATTGCAGCCCCAGATTCCTCTGTTCCAAAATTGGATTAGATATTTTACAAGAAAAATGCTTTTTCTTGTAGTCAAGGAGTTCCACCAGCTTCGCATTAGCTATAGAATCGGAGTGGATGCTATAGAAACTTCAAAGTTATGTGATAGATTGTAACTTATTTCCTACTAGTCTCCCTCTTTTCTTCTTTTTGGTTTTGGTTTCTGCTTATAGCCTGTTTGGTCGGCAGAATAACTTTTGGCAATTATATTGCTGGTTTTCTGTTTTTGGTGTTCCACCACCACCACCACTACCACCTAGTACTGGTTATGGAAGTTGCCTGCCGACTACTCCTGTTGTTTCGTGCTGTCCAGTACAGTATAACTATGGACCTCCCCCTCCTTATTACTATACTGGTTCATCAACCAAGCTCTTTGCTTGTGAATGGATTTCTGCTATTTTTTCCTTTTTCTCCATTATGTTCTTTGCGATTTGAAGCTTGAAGAGGATTTCAAGTTCTAAAGCTCATGAATGCTTTCCTATGGACTATGCTATGACAGTAGAGATATTCCTCTCTTGTTGAGGAAGATATCAGTTTGGTAAAATATCTAACGTCTTGTTACAAAAGTCAATATTTCTTATTTTCAAGAACATTTCTTTGTTGTGGCAAGTTATATTGAACTATATGTGGTTTAATACTTTTCTTTCTTTTATGTATCCTTTTATTTGCACTATGGTATATTTCATGTCTGGACTGTTTAGTAGTTTGGCTAGGGAATTTACTGCCCTATTAATGTGCTTGAAGCTTCCCTATCCCCCTACAAAGTCTGCATGCTTTTGATGCTAGAGATCGATCAGGGCCAACCCAATATCAGTAATAGCCTTTCACAACTCAAAAGACCATGGACATTCAACAAACAAATGTTGGATTTCCCTATCCTGAACTGTTTCCTTTTTTGGCAATTATATTGCTGGTTTTCTGTTTTTGGTGTCAAATATCATAGACTTCGTTTCTGCTTTTCCTTTGTGTCCTTAATTCTTCCTTTTCAGGCAATCATAATTTTTTTTTCAGGCAATCGATTTTGTTTTATCGAGTCATGCTCCTCTTTTTACTGTATCCAATTTCCATGAAAGAATTCGGGCTGCTTTTGTGGCTGGTGGCATAGCCAGGAATTTATGCAACAGGATTCGAAAAAATACTAGAAAGTCACACTAGGGGATTTGAACCCCCTATGATACTATATTTCATTGTAGATAGTGACTTTAGTCTAAATTGGAAAATAGAACTAAGAGTTTGAATAATTGAATATATAGATACTGACTTTAGTTTCTATGTTTCTCTATCTTCTTAATTGAATAATTTTTGTATAGGCTGTTAAAAAGGATCGAGATCCAATACCAAATGAGTTGCATTTGCACGTCCATACACATGGTAATGATGGAAAATCTTTTGTTGCTGAGAAATCCCGAATCATACATGTAAGATAACTTTTTAATTGACTTTACTTTCATATATTTTTTTCATTTTGTAAATTGAATGTTCTTATTAATTCTTCTACAGGAAAAATATCAGGAGATATTACAACAACAAACGCAAACTCATTCTGATATTGATCAGTGGAAAGCATATTATCAAGCCGCGGGAGGAGAAAAGAAAAGAAGAGTATATGATCTTGGATCGCAAGCAAAATGCTACTACGGGCCAAATCTTTATAGCTCTCTTGGATCTGATGCTACATCGTCAACAACACCTCCAAATTCTCAATCAACACCGATAGGGAATCTGGATGAGTTAGTGATGCGATTGATTCCTGCACTGACAGATCATATAGTTCCTGTAATCGTTGAGCGGGTACGCGAATTAGTTTACTTACCCTCGCATCAACCAAATACTGATATGGCACCTACAGTTCCAACATCTTCTACTGCTGCTAACATTGATGAGGTTCATGCATTGGGTTCTGATGATGACCGTAACTGTCCAGCCTAGCGTCGTTAGCTTACTTTGTTTGGACATTATTGTTGGTCCTTGTGGATTTTTTGTACTTAATGATACTATTATATGCATTATGCTATATATTTTGGACCTTGTTGAATTTATATTAATATCAATGACTTTTTATTAAGTGTATTTAATAGTTCATGTAATATGTTTGAACAGAGTACATTTAAAATAATAAATAAAAAGAATTTTAAAAAATCAACAATATAGTAAAAATAAATCAGCGACGGATACGTTCCGTAGCTAAAATTATCGCGTAAAATTAAATCTTGCGACGAATTGGCGATAAAAAGTTTTTGTTCCAAAAAGCAGGGACAATTAGCTATAACACGGCTAGCGACGGACAATTTCGTCTCTATAAGAACAAACGACGAATTTTATTATGTATTGCAGCGACGAAAGGCATTAAAATAGCGACAGAAACAAGCTCTATAGCGACGGATATTTCCCTCGCTAAACTTTGCTCAAAATATGTCGTTGCTATTCCGTCGCTAATTCTGCGACGAATTGGTATTTTTCGTCGCTATAAGCCTAGCAACGTGGATTTTAGGGACCAACTTGAATCCGTCGCTAAACAACTTTAGCGACGGAAAACATTGATTTAGCGACGGAATGCGGCCGTCGCTAAACGCTGTTTTTTTTTTGTAGTGGCCTTAGGTTTGTCTTCATTTTAAGTTCAGAGCATCTTTCGCTCAGTTAGGGGCTACCCGATTTCAAGCAAACTCTCACTCGGGGACTATTCCTAGAGGTCTAAGGGCTATCTTTATTATCAGATCATCGAACGAATGGGCACCCGATTGCTAAATCCAAAGGCTATTTGGGTTCGAGAAAATTTCCACTCGGTCGCTACCGACAAAGCCTAAAAGGGCTAGATTTATTTCAAAAAATCGAGACCCAGCTCTCACTCAAGTCGGGCTCAGAAGTCCCGGTGACCTAAATTCACATCAGATCAATCCAAGCTCAGTCTGAGGGATAACAAAGGACTTCGAGAAGCACCGCATTAATTAAATTGAAAACCCGAGGGTTTATTATTGTTATGTTCTGGATCCGGTATTCGGATCAATTGTTAAATTCGTACATCTGGACTTTTCACAAATGAAAATAGAATGGTGTTCAACACAAATTGGAGGCAAAATGAAGATACTCTTATATTAATAAAAGATGATTTACAAAGCCCACGAGGGGCCCTTACACAGAAACGAAAAAGCATAAAACAACAGACCAAGGCCTAATCTACTTTCGAGGGATTATCTTCAAGAGCAACATCCTCGAGAACCTTTTTTCTTTTTTTTTTTTGGAGACTTCACTTCGATCTTTAGAACGTTGTCTTCGAGAATCACTCGACCTGTCTATCTGGACCTGCGGGTTTTGTGGGAGAGAGTACCATATATATGCACCTACATGAGCTTATATTTAATAAGTAACCAATCTGTATTCATAGTGAAAACAAGTATTGGGTACTGTGATTTTGTCATGGGCCTGGTTATGATTATTTAAGCAAGTCATAACCTCTCCCACAAAACCCGTGGGAGAGGTTTATCAAAACGTTATTTGTTGTTCAAGTTGGTGTATTGTAATCGGTGTACAATAACGTAACTGGTGTTAAATACATCTATGAGGAACTCGGAGGGGATGAGATCTTCGGTCTTCACCCGAACGAATCTCCCTTGCAAACATCAATCCCTGTCTTCGTCAATGCTCGAGAAGGGAGCCTTTTTTGCCCAACGGGCAAGCTTGATTAGCCCCCCTCGGAAGATTTGGGGGCCGTAGATGTGAAGCACATGGTTGATAGTGAACCGGGGCTCCTCCGTGTTGTTGACAAACGGACGGAGGAGAATCACGATCCTCCAAAAAGATGGGTGGATCTGCCCGAGGTAGACCTCGTACCTTTTGCATAAATCAAGGACTATCGTATAGATCGGGCCAAGCGTTAAGGGGTATGTATAAACGCTTAAGTACCATTCCACGTGTGTGGTGATGTCCTCATCGGGGTCGGGGATGACTACTTCCTTGCCTTCCCACTTGCAGTCCTCCCAAACCGTCGGGAGTGTATCTTCAATGATGGAACAGATATACCTTCATACCTCCTCACACCGATCTCCTTGTTTGGAGATCTTTTCGAACTTAAAGTTGTTGTCTATAGAGCAGCTTCCGGGGATAAAATTAAGAAGAGAAGATTCTGGGGCTGCTACCGAGAGGGTCGCTTCGACATCAACAGCCAGACAGAAGTTGAAGGAGCGGTTTTGTTGAGGCTTTGAAGTTTTTGCCATCGTTATCTGAGAATATGAAGGTTTGAAGACTAGGTATGAAGATGGTAAAGATTTGAAGGTTTGGCTTGAAGATTTAAAGGCGAAATACGAAGATTTGAATGCTAAGGATGAATAAATGAAGAAGTGAAGAACAATTCGTGAAGATTTGAGGGAATGATGAACTAGTAAAAATTACGAGGGTAACTTAAGAAGATTCAAAATCAGAAAGTAAAAAAGTGCAAAAAATACCGAAGCTTTTATAGGAGGTAAATATTTAATGCGTGACGTTTCGCATTCGAGGATGGTCAACCGACGGCAAACACATGTGAAATCAGAACGATGCGATTGAAGGGACGTTTCGCTGGCCCATCAGCCCGTTTGTTGAATAAGGTGGAAGGAACCGAGGTTAGTTAGTCACTTCTCATTGTTATAAATCTGCTTTCCGAAAAGTGAGGGGACTATCTGTATACGGGTAAAATCGGAGATAAAGTTATCTCCTATTTTCCGGTAAAGAAATGAGAGGGAAACACGATCTGACATGGCCTTGAGTAATTAAAGCCGAGGGATTCCACGTCTCAGAGTCCGGGGAGGACGAATGGTGCACCCGGGACCAGGCATGGCCGAGCATCTGGTCCGAGCAGAGTGAAGAGCCGAGACTAGGGGAAAGACGGTTAGACAAGATAAAGTGGGGGGGGGGGGGGGGGGGGGTAGGTGGCAGGAAATATACGCTCTCAACTGGATATTACGGCGTAAAATAACCTTTTGAAGCAGTGGGCATCAAAATACAGTATTGCGCATTTATGACACCAACGTTGATCGTGTCATATTGATCAACGTTTATATCATTGATCAATGCACATATATTACAGAGACAAACTCTATATGGATGATAGTTGTCTTATCCTTAGTTGTCTTATATATGAAGCACTAGGAAGGGCATTCAGATAGATAAATTAACTTTATCTATCATTTTAATACAACTTAAAGTTATGTAGGATTTATTTTTGCTATTTCCAATGAAGTACACTATTTTTCCTTATTCTATCCTCCCGATCGAGCGGCAAAAGTTAACAGACAAGTTCATGTTTCTCAAATTAATTATACTACTATTATATTCAGAGCATCTTTAGCTTTCGGCATTATCTCCCACAAGTACTAATTTTTACTTGTGACATTAAAACCATTCTTGACACAAGATTAAAAAATTCTTTAGGGTTTTATTTGTTCCCTTAGGTCGTACTATCGTTATATGACACATATGATAAGGTGGGCCCTAATTTTCGCCAATGAAAACTGCTGTGATTAGGAATGCCCGTGGAAGCATTCCCTTCAAACCGTAATGTGGCCATAGTAGATTAAACTCTAGGATCCGTAAACGGGTTGACTTTGATGATATTGGAGTCAGATTATTGTTCTGGAACTTGCTATAGGTTCACTATGTCATCTGGAACATGCATGCAAAGTTTAATTAAAATCCAAATTGGTTAGGCTTAAATCGGACGCTTGGTTGCAAGTTGGAAGTTCTTGAACTTAAGAAAGTAGTTTTGTAGTTGATTCTTTATTTTGGTATTATTCAGGGTGTTTCAATCGCTTAGATAAGTTTGGATTAGGTATTGGAACTTGTTGGCATGATTGGACGTGGTCAGGGAGCCTCAGGTGTGATTCGGGGTGGTTTTGGACCATTTTACAAGTTGGAACTGCTGGTTTTCTAGAGTTGGGTGCTTCTTCGCAATCGCGGAGGGTGACTCGCGATGCGGAATGGGAGAGGCTGGTAGGAATATTTTCCTCTTTGCATTCGCGGAGTGCTAGGTTTGGCGCATTAGCCTACAGATGGGCGCATTCGTGGAGGCTTAGTATCAGGCAGGTGGACTGCTTTTGCATTCGCAAGTGAGGGATTGAGTTCAGGTAAGTGATCACACCCAACTCTAGCCCTAAAAAGGATAAGCGATCATTGCAAATATAATCCGGTCTAAAAGTCCGGAGTCGAATCCCACAGAGAACTAAGGCTTAGCTATATCTGTTTAATATCGCTAAGAAGACAAGTTTGAACAATTTGCTAAATTATAAATATTGAGATTTATATTTCTAACTAATTAACTAGCAAATATTACAAAGTGGTAAAATTATCAACTAACGAGACAAAGGGTAAATTAAGGAGGTCTAGAGTTATGATTTCCCCAATTGTCAGAATCCTTCTAGCTATGTTCCTTACAATTTTGCCAATGTATTCTCTGTTAGGTGTTGTCCTGATTTTCTTACCATATTTGGTTTTCCTATCTCATGAAGGAAAGGATAACATATTTACCATAATTGGATTTTTCTTTTCCTAGATGGAAAACATAAGTCTTTTATATTTGGCTAGTCCATTTTCTTGTAGGAAAAGGTTTGGACTTCTATAAATTGAGGAACATTCCTTCTCATTCATTAGCATCCAAAATGTAGCCATAGGGAGCTTGAGAGTCTTGTTTAGGAGGAGAACTTTACGGGACAAGTGTTAATGTGTCACTTGTCCTCTTCGTGAGGTTGTTCTCTCGATATTTTGTACTCTCTTTTATTATAGTGGATTGCTCGTCTCCGCTGTGGACATAGGTCAGTTGACCGAACCTCGTTAAATGTTTGTGTCTCTTTTTGGTAGATTTCTCTTTTGTAGTTGGATTTATCGTCGTGCAATGTTCACTATAAGAAAAAAGCCTTATTTAAGACCAACCTTTAGGGACGAGTTAATCATCCCGTCGCTAA